GTTAATCTAGAAGTTAATTTAGAAATATAAAGTAGATGGGATATTATTTATACTAAATTTTCATTTGGTGAGGCATCAGGTAAATAAAGAAACTTATGGGCTGGGGATTTAGCTCAGTGGTTCAGCTGCCTGCCTCACAAGCAGAAGGACCCGAGTTCGATCCCCAGTACCAAAAAAAAAAAGAAACTTACGTACATGTTACAAATTTATGTGTTGTGGTTCTCTTGCTAACTACTTTAGGCTTAATTGTGGTCATCATTCATATGCAAAAGCGCCAACCCCTCAGTATTTCAGAATGCAGCTGCATCAACTGCAAGTGGAGGTAGGATATTTAAAGTGGTGATTAATTTAAATGAAGTTTAGGATGGACCCTCATCTAATCTGACTGGTGAAGATAAGATCAGGACACAGACAACACAGAGAACAGACCATATGAAGGCACAGGGAGAAGATGGCCATCTACAAACCAATAAGAGAAATGTCAGGAGAAACCAACCCTGGGAATCTGTAATTTGTGACAAAATAGATGGAACTGGAAGATGCAGGAGCACTTTATATACTATTCTGAATACAAATCCTTTATCAGTTAGCTGATTTACAAATATTTTCTTTTAGTAGTTTGTGACTCCTCCCTCCTTCCCTTCATCCCGCCATCCCTCCCTTCCATGCTGAGTATTGAACCCTGAGCAAAATTCTTTGTCTTGAGGCAGTCTCCCTAAATTGCCTTGAGTAAATTGGACTTGAACTTGTGATCCTCCTACCTCACCCTCCCAGAGTGCTGGAATTATAGGCCTTAATCCCATTTTCAAATCCCAGTGAATTATAATCTCAGAAGTATTTTAAACTGCATTCATACAATTAAAAATCAATTTTAAAAGTATGCCGCCATGTACCTGGCAAGATATTTTCCAAATATCCAGGTCTTCTAATGCATTAGGACTTATTTAGTAAAATTTTTTTTTATTAGTACATGTTTGCAGGTCATAATGATTACATTCATCATGGGGAGTTGGTACAGGGACAACGTAATTTATCTGATAGGATTTATGTATGGCAAGGCATTATTTTACACATTTTATTATATGTTTCAAACATCATCTGTTTCTTAGCTGAAATATATAGGTTCATTAACTTAAAAAATACTAATATATGTTGTGCTTCTCTTAAATATGTACTTAATTCTGAATCTTCCCAGGCTAGAAGATGCTTGTAGTTTGGAGTTGCCTTCTCTACTCACTGTGGTTTCTTAATGACTAAAGATGCCCTCAGCCAGGATGCTGAGTGGGTCTGTGGTCAAATCAAGTGCATATACAGAGGTCTATCTTATATTTGGTTTGTTTAAGGCATTACTGTTGCCCTAGTTTCTTAGAGTCAAGTTAATCATTCTTAATTAGTCTACTCATAGACAGGTGATTATATCACTTGATTGGATTGTTAATCTGTTTACTGCTCATTCTTTTTGGAGTGTGTTGTCCTTCAGGATTAAAATGACATTTCTTACTTGAAATTATTTACAAAAACTTTGTAGTATCTTGTAGCATATAACTTTCAAGAAAATAAAAGTAAATAACATGCTTATGTTTACTGTAAAGAATGAATTTTGTGATTGTAAAATAGTCCCTATTCTGTATTTGTACTTCAAGCTATCTAGTACTGTAAGGAAGTAATGGAAATAAAACTTAAAAGATTTTTTCTTCATCAGTTCTTTCTGTTACTTATTGGTTAACTTAAGATATTTCCCCCCTACTTTCTGTATTTTTTTTCTGAGGGAAAAACTCTCTTTTTCTCAGTTCTTTTTGCATCCCTCTAAAAACATCTGTATTTCCTTCATTTCCTTTCCTTCAGTTTCAGAGGTAATGTAGTAAATGTGGATAAACATAATTAAGAGAGAAATGGTGAGGGTAGACAATTTATAATCTTTATGTTTGTTGTGTTCTAGAAAGCTACTGTAGGGCTAGGGATTTAGCTCAGTGGAAGGTCCCGAGTTCGATCTCTGATACCAAAAAAAAAAAAACAAATACTTAATGTAAAGCTACATTAAGTTTTGAGATTGAGTGATCAGGGTGAAGCAGTTTAAAAATTTTTAAAGTTCTGTTCTAGTAAAGCTATAAACTAAAAATAGCAAATCTGTTAGCTAAATGATACTACTTTGAAAAAATTTCCTTCTGTGTTTCAGAATTTCAAGTCGTAGCCATAGATGTGCTTGGTAATCCTATATTGAAAAAAAAAAATTAAATAAAAATTAACAGGGTTAATAGAGTATAATTTGGAACTGATTGAATTGAACAACAGAAGTATAATTAGTAATCTTTATAGACAACAATCAAGCACTAAAAAGTATGTTATATGTGAAGTTATTTTTCCTTTCTATTGTCTTATAGGGAGTAATTATATTTTTAAAAATTTCTTTAGAAAATAAGTATAAACCAAGTAAATAATTTTAATAAGTAAAAAACCAGTAAAAAATTTTAAGATTTAAAATTTAGTGCACCTACAACAAATACATGGCTTTTCCAATGTGATACACAAGACGGGATCATAAACAACTTACTCTCCATCACTTTTTTTTTGTGGTTCTGGGAATTGAACTCAGGGTCTCCCACAAGCTATGCAAGCACTTCACTGAGCTACATCCCCAGCTCTCTCTGTCTCTCTCCCTCTCCCTGTTTCTCTTCCTTCCTGGTTCCCTCCTTCCCTCTTTCTTCCTTCTGGAGGGTAAGTTCTTCCCCTGCCTCCGTATAAAAATTCAGGTCCATAATTTTACAGTCATTTTCACTTAAATTTAGAAAGCTTTGTCAATTCCATAATTAAAAGTGCCTTTTCAGTACATTAATCACCATTTTATTCTTCCCTCAGAGCTAAAACTTGTCCTTTCTCTTAAGGACAACAAACTGGTGGGAGGCCACTCACCAATATTCGCATCCTGGCTGGCTCTCAGCCTGCTTACCTTTCAGGCCACTTTGTGGAGTCATCAGTCTCATTCTTTTTCCTCATCTTCCTCTTTCTTCCCTCCCCTGTCTCTCTCATTTCCTCCCTCTGTTTTCTTGGGGTTATTCTCGCTACTTGAGGTGGTACTTTGAGTAGAATTTTGTCTGTGTATTTATATTTGTGGTGCTGAGGCTGGAACCTTACGGTGATCACGGGAAGTTCAGTAATCAGTCAGTCATTTATTTATTTATTTATTGTGCTGAGGAAAGAATAATTTTCTTTTTAAGCTATGACAACGGATTTTTGAGATGTAATCCACACCACATACAATTTATTTAAATTTAACACATACCTTCAGTAGTTACTAGCATGCACACAGAGTTGTGCAAGAACTACTGCTGTCCAAAATTTGAAGACCTCTGGTCCTCTGGCCAGGACCTAATCCAGCTCCACACTGAATCAGTGTTGTCCTGCCATCCTGTGTCCTTTCCTCTCCCGTCCCCACCTTGGAAGTGGAGCTGGCTCTGCCACAGCAAGCTATGCACTCTCCTCTTTCCCCTCTTGCTCCTGTCTCTGGGCAGTGCGGGAAGTGTGTATCACGTACCAATCTGCTGTGTTATCTTGCCTCCAGGCAATACCTATGAAGTCCTTCACAGCTCCCACTGAAGCTTCTTTCACTGGCTTAAGAGAAAAGCAAGGCTTTTTCCCACACTGCTTCTGCTTTAGGGGAGAGACATGGAAATCTGTACAACTCTCTTCAAAGAAACCCTTGTGCAATCTTCTCACTTTATGTCTGTGTGTAGGCTTTGGAGCTATCTAACCAGTTCTCAGACAAAACACTTTGGGAATTTGCTAGAGGGTAGTCTTTCTTACAATTCACATTGGTGTTTGATTGCTCATAGGATCTTTATGTCTCTATTAAAACTTCCAGTTTATTAATGTTTCATGTGAAAGATAAAAATACACATCTCTTTGAAAAAAATGCAGCTTCTATTTTTTCCCTTAAATAAATGTAATAATTTTTATTTTTTAGGCATGTCAATTCAGGAAAATTCACAAAGGAGAATTTTGAGGAGCAGCATTTTCCCCTTACAAAATAAAAATGAGATTACTAAACCTGATATCAATATGTCACCTTAAGCAACACTGGGAAAATTGATCCTATAAAAATATCCCCAGAGATATTTTTCTGATCTTTTCTTAATTCAACTTGTGCAGAGTTTTAGGTTACAAAGCATGTTCAGAGACATAGCCTCTTTTCTTATCATAGTCAAAATGGTTATTATTATTATTATTATTATTATTATTATCCCAAAATCACAGATGGGAAGCAGATGTACAGGTAAAGTGACTACCAGGAGCAAATGGTGACTTGTCAGCAAAGTTGGTTCTAGAAATAATTCTATTTTTTGCAAAATTTATGCACACACACATATATGGAAGAAATGTGTTGCGTATCATTCCCAGCTTCTTATGTGATGGCCATAAGTCTCTTTTCTGCTGTATATCTGGGAAGCATAGAATGAAACTTAGGATTCAATTCTGAAAGGCCTTTTGTTTAGTCTGGCTGCTTTGGTTTCATCATCTGTAGTTTGGTGCTTCCTGTCCTCTCATGAAGTAGTCACCACCATCCCCCAGTTCCTGCTCTGAGGTTGACCCTGCTAGTTTAGAGCAAATGAAATAGTTATTTTGAGGAGTTATTCCTCACATTTCTTTGCCTTTTTTTTTGGTACCGGGGATCAAACTCAGGTCCTTGCGCTTACACAGCAGGTGGCGAAACCACTGAGCTAAATTCCCGGCCCTCTTTGCCTTTTTTTCAATGAGGCAGGGTCTCTCTGTTTTGCCCAGGCTGGTCTCAAACTCCTGGGTTCAAGTGATCCTCTTGCTTCAGCCTCCCAGGTGGCTGGAACTACAAACACTAACCACCGTGCCCAGCTTCTTTTACTCTTTATGAGTTTAAGACTGTAGGATTATATGTAGACTGAAGGGTGTATTGAGAAATGGGTAGATGGGGGTTTGTCACCTTCAGCACTGAGTTGCTGACACACAGACATCCTTTACCTTTGTTCCAGATAATATGCATGTGTCACTAGCTGAGGCCCTGGAGGTTCGGGGTGGACCACTGCAGGAGGAAGAAATATGGGCTGTATTAAACCAGAGTGCCGAAAGTCTCCAAGAATTATTCAGAAAAGGTAAGTTATTGTAATTTTTTAAAAATTTTATTTTGTATATTGAAGAGCTGAGATTAGATTTTTGTTTTGCTGTTCTTGTGCTTTTGACAGAGAATGAAAAGGAACATTTCATCTTGTCTCTTGTAAGAGAAGTGACAGTGCTCAGATTCTGTCTACCAGGCACTGCAAGTACAATGGATATCAAAAAAAAAGCATTCCTTGCTTTTTTGGAGCTTTCACTCCAATGTAGAAAGTAACTATTAATAAAATATTTATACATTTGTAAAAAATACATCCATGACGGGCTAAAGAAGAGGAAGTTCAGTGACTATGAGACTAGGCGATGGGCGATGTGACTTGGTCACAGGGAGGAAAAGGAGGGATTACCTTCACAAGTCATCCCTGCATTGAGATCTGGAAGAAAAGTCCAAGTTAGCCAGGTGAAAAGGAGGAGAAACTCTAGCAAAGGGAATAACATGTGCACCCCTGTTACTCTGAATTAGATAATGTAGGCTGAATAAATACTATAGTTTGATGCTTCTTTATAGGTGGTCAGTTGGTCCGAATGATTGTGTGGAAAAGCTAGTCACTTGTGGTTGTCTAAAACCGTTTGAGATGGTGCTGAAAAACTCCATATGAAGATGTTGTTTGTCATTCACATCATATACCCAACACCTGTTTAGAACAGTAGGTAAATAAACCAGGTTTCATCTATTTGAAAAAAATCAGAATCCTGATTTTTAATATTCTATTAAAATAGAAGTGCATAAATAAATTATACAAAATAAACATAACAGAAGTAAGTGGGGATTGAGTGTAATGATAGGCTTCAGAGGGTGGAAGCTGGAGCAGCAGCAGCGGCATCACCTATAAACTTCCTGACCCCACACTAGAGACCCACCAAAGAAGAAACTCTGGGGATGGAGCCCAGCAGCTTGTGTTTTAACAAACCCTCAAAGACATTCTGCTGCTTGCTGTGGTTGAGAGCCAGGAGTCATGAAAACCTGGTGGAAAGGTGCAGGGATAACTGTGGATTGAGTATAGAAAAGTCTAGGACACAGGAGAAGAGCATTTGGGGACAGTAAAGTTTCTTTGTTGTTTTTGAATTTAGTGACAGGAATTTGAGCAAAACAGTGTTAGGGCCACTTATTACTGCTTCTTACTCAGATGTATGAAGACCTTTGATCAGAGTCAGGATTAATCTAAAGAAAGTGTATTCTTTTATCTGAAATCACTTACCAAAAATCTGGTTATCTTAAGTGAACTCTATAACTGTGCTTGCTTCACTTTAATTTTTCAGAAAATTCTAAAGTATAGGAACCTTAGAAAATAGAGCAGTTAGCCACACTCCAAAAGTGTTGTTGAGGAAAAATTTGTTGGTTACATTACTCAGTTAATTACCAATTAACAATAGACAGTCAATAAATATATAAGAAACAAATGCTTTGAGGTATATAATATGTGGGAGATCCAAATAAGAAGGTGTCATTGTTGCCCTTAAGGGGTTTATTCAGATCAAAAACAAATAGATGCATGTGAAAAGTTTACCATTTAAAATGGTGTGCCAAATGAATGACAGAGACAGTGAGTACTACAGATGTTCAGAGGAGGGAGAGATAATACCTCTTTTATTATACTAAGGGCAGGATCACTGCCTAGGGTGTGACTCACAGAATATAAAGCAACTTGCGCACTGTAAGTACCTAAGATTTTGTCCTTGTTTCAGATTTTGTAAGGGTGATAGAGATTGTCTGAATTTACAGTTCTTGTCATTGAGAGGCAATTAGTACACATTGGCACTTTACAATAAAGAAATCTACTGAATGTGTTATAAAATTAATTGTGAGGCAGCTGTATGTTAAGACTGCCCAATGAGAGCTGGTTACTCTAAGGGCCCCAGTCATTCACAGAATGATATCAGTAATACAGAGAAATTAAATTTGGCAGTTGGGAGCTTACCGATTATTATGATTGCTAGTTGGAAATTTCTGTTTATTTGGAGAAAACAAATGTTTAGTTGATTTATTTGAAATTTCTGGTTTTTCATTCATTTCATTGGGTAATGCAGTGGTCATTTTACTTCACGTTCTTCTCCAGAGTCTTACTGTAAGCTGAAATAAAATTACTATTAGTTTGTTATTTTTCAGATGAATTGTATATGCCTTCATTCTCTAGTAGACGCCCCTATGAAGAACAAGGAGAATGTTAGGGGAAAGCAGGTGAAGCGACCTCCAAGAAGTTTGTTTTTTTAAAATGCATCATCCTATATTAGTTTTATTTGTCTATGTTTGCTTTGTTTTGGTTCTTGTCTGTGTCTTTCTTCCTAGATCATCCTAATCTTCTTTGTTACTTTCTTTATCTTTTTCAGTGTATGAGTTCAGACATGCTATTGATAGTCCTATAATAAAAAGGTAGAAATAAGCATTTAGCAAAATTCAAGGAAATGATGTATTACTTCATGTTTTTGAGCCTCCCAGAAATTTAAGCCTTTACTCATAGAGTAATGGTAGCTAAGCATTTTGTTTACTTGAAGGAAGTAACCGTCTTCAAATGTTTCTCTTCATAGGAGAAAAAATTTAAAACTTGAGAAACATGCAGTTCCACACACTTAGATAACGATGATAATGGTACTTGGTTCCCTTTTTGTTTAACGTTTCTTAGTTTTATTAATATGTGAATTCTGTATGATTACTGCTGTAGAATTTTTTGAGATTTGTGTATGGGTGTTTGTTTGTTTGTTTGTTTGTGATACTGAGGATTGAAAGCAGGGCTTCATACATCCTAGGCAAGTGCTCACCACTGACTACGTCACTAGCCCTTTTTATTTTTATTTTGAGACAAGCTCTTATTAAGTGTCCTTGGCTGGTCTTGAACTTGTGATGTCCTGCCTCAGTCTGCTGAGTAGCTAAGATTACAGGCATGTACCACCATACCCAGTTTTTCTTGTGGTCTGGTACATGATCTGTCTTTGTTTTTATTCTGTGATCATTTGAAAAGTTTGTGTGCTTTCTAATATAGGCTATAACTTAGATTTGTTGATGTTTGTGATTTTAATTTTTTAAAATAAATCTTCATTACTTGAATCCTTGATTTGCAAAATAGGGATAGTTAAAGTTTCCCATTGTGATTGAGTTTCCATCTTCTTAGTTCTTCTGTCTTCTTACCTCTGTTTATACTTATTTCTTGTAATTTTGTTTGATACATATAATAGTTAATAACTAATATAAGTGGACTGGATCTTTTCACTACTCTTTGCACTACATTTTCTCTAGTCTGGTTTTGTGCATAAATGTATGTGTATACTTGGTTATTGTTGGTTTTGTGTTTGTTTTGTTTTGTGGAGTTTTTTGGTACCGGGGATCGAACTCAGGACCTTGTGCTTGCGAGGCAGGTGGCAGCAGCACTGAGCTAAATCCTCGGCCCTGTTTTGTGGTTTTTTTTATACTGTGCTACAACCCCAGCATTTTAAAAAATTTTTACTTCGAGACAGTATCATTGAGTTGCCCAGCCTGGGGTCAAACTTGTGATCCTCCTCCCTCACCCTGCCAGAGTGCTGGGATTACAGGTGTGCAGCACTGTGCCCAGATTTTAATTTGTTCTCAATAATGCCTTGGGTTTCTTTTACTTGCCATTTATCTAGAGCAGTAGTGGTGAACCTGGGACATGCATGTTATTTATTTCTCTTGACAAAAGATGTTAATGTATGAATTGTTTTTTCTAAACCAAAACCTCAGTATTCGGGTTTAATTGCAATGTTGGCACTTTGTGACAAATAAATGGATTTGAGGTTGCAGTTTGGGCACTCATTTCTAAAAGGTTCACCATCACTGATCTCTAGAGTATCTTTCTTTATTTTCATGTGCTCTACATTGTAATTTAGATACAAATAGCAGGTAACTGAATTTTGCTTTTTTATCTAGCTAAGGAGTTGCTCTTCTATAGAAATTTGAATGTAGTCATTGAAATAAAAGTTGTGGGGAAATTTCATTAAAGCTTTTACTATATGTATTATACTTCCTAATTATATACCTCTCTGTCCATTTTATTAATTGATTGGGAAGCATAGCTTAGATCAGAAAAAAATACATAGACAGGAAAAAAACAAACTAGTCTCTCCTATCCTCAGACAACATTTCTGTGACCAAATAAGTGTGTGGGGTGGGGGAGGTTAATGGCAAAACACTGTGTCTTTCCTAAGAGCAGGAATAAGTCAAGGATGTCTATGTTCATTACTTATTTTCAACATTGTATTTGAGTTCTAACCACTGCAGTAAGAGAAGAAAAACAAATGAAGAGCATACACATTAGAAAAAAAAAAAAGTCAAATTACATTTATTTAAAGATGATATCCTCTATATAGAAAATAGGATAGAAACTACAAAAAAAATCCACTAAAACTAAGCATTGTTCAAGTTGAAGGGCACAAGTTCAGTATACAAAAATCAGTTGTAGGGCTGGGGATTTAGCTCAGTGGTTTCACTGCCTGCTGCACAAGCTCAAGGACCCAAGTTTGTTCCCCGGTACAAAAAAAAAAAAAAAAAAAAAATCACTTGTCTCTTTACATCATAACAATGAGCAATCAGAAATTAAAAATTTTAGATGCCTTGTAAAAATGGAAATAAAAGTGTAAAATATGAAATATAAGTCTGGGTATGGCAATACACACATGTAATCCCAGCTACTTAAGAGGTTGAGGAAGGAGAGTTGCAAGTTTCAAGCCAGCCCTGGCAACTTAGACTTTGTCTCAGATTTAAAAAGGCAAGGGATGTAACTCAGTGTTTCCAGAACTGATTGACTGCAGTGCTAAAGAAGAAAAAAAGAAGAAGAAATTTAAAGATATGAAATAACCCAGCATGGTGGCACACGCCTGGGATCCCAGCACTTGGGAAGCTGAGGCAGGAGGTTTGCTCTGAGTTCGAAGCCAGCCTGGGCTACATAGTGAGTTCAAGACCAGCCTGAACTACAGAGTGAGACCTTGTCTCAAAAAAACACCAAAAAATAAAATAAAATAAAAATAGGAGTGAATCAGAGAAAAGATGTAAAGACTTGTATAATGAAAACTAAAAGCAATGCTGAGAGAAGTTGAAGATCTAAATAAATGAAGACTTGTACTGTGTTCCTGGATCAGAAGACCCCATATTGTTTTTTTGTTTTGTTTTGTTTTTGTTTTTTTGGTACTAGGGATCAAACTCAGGACCTTGTGCTTGCAAAGCAGGCGCCGGAACCACTGAGCTAAATCCCCAGCCCGACTCCATATTATTAAGATGTCAGTTTTCTCTAAATTGATAGATTCATCAGCCCCAACAGTCTTTACTTTTGTAGAAATTGAGAAGTTTGTTCTAAAATTCACATGGAAATTCAGTGTAAGTAGAGTAGCCCAAACAACTTTGAAAAGTTTGAAGACTGACACTACTTTATTTCAAGACTTCTAAATCTGCAGTGATCAAAATATACAGGTAGATCAGTGAAACATAATAGAGTACAAAAATAAACCCACATGCTGAACTTGAAATTGACTTCCTGGGACATTTTTAAAGCCTTTGTAGGAAATAAAGAAAGATTTTGAGTAAATCTTTGTAGAGTGTATGCAACCTTTAAAAGACGAGATCCCAGCTACTCCCTTTTTATTGCCTTCCTCATTATCTACAATCATAATTTTGTAGATTAAGAGGGAGTATCAGTTGTTTTTGACATGCTACATCTTGCCTTGCATTTGTAAGGCCAGAAGTAACAGGTCTTTCAAGTTAAATGTGTTTGAACTGGATAAAATTAACCCATTTGTTTCCTGGAAACAAACTGTAAAACATTAAATTTAATGCCTAGCACTCTTTAAAAGATCAGTATAGACTGACAAGTGAATGAAACACTCACAGTGAACAGTACCTTCCTACATATGCACCAGCAGTACCCTGTGTCTTAATATGAAATTATTTGTATTTTAGATCTTCTAAACAGACAATCTTATAAATTTAAAGATTCATACATTTAGGGGGGAAAGTTGCTAAGGTCATACTCTTTGGTGAATGTATATTTTAATTTTTTAAACCTAGAGGAACTTTATAAAGTTTAGGTATAATTATACAGTAAATAGCATTATTGTTAATTGTACAGCCTGATGAATTTTTTGACCGTATGAATACACTCAGATAACTGCCACCAAGATCAAGATATAGAACATTTCTTGCACCCAAAAGGCTCCCTAAGTCTCCATCCTAGTCAATCTTTAGTCATCAGGGTTAATCACTGCTATGACATAGCACTTAGACAAGTTTGCCTAGATTTGAACATCATACAAAGACATTCATTTGTGCCTGGCTTCTTTTATTCAGCATTCTGATTTTGGGATTTTTTTCCCTTGCTTTACTCAATTTATATTTCCATACTCTAATAGTATTCTAGTCAGTTACCAATTACATTGTAAAAATTGACTGTGGGATTGATTCACATTATATAACTAAGGTTTTAAAACATTGTTTTACAATTTTTTTCTTAACTTTCTTCCCTGAAATAGAGAAATTTAAAGGGGGATGTATGCTTTGTATCATTTACTTAAGATGTTTTTACTTTCTTAGGGTGAGGTCTATTAGCTATAGTTAACAATTTTGTTAGCACCATATAAATAACATTTCTTTTTAGGGAATGAATTATTCATTTATTTCACAAATGATTATTCATTCAAATAATCCTCTGTTCTTTTAGAAGGAAAAGATCTTTATAGAGTAAGCTGGGGGTTGATATCTGAGGAGTAGCAGGAAATAATAAATGGCATTAGTAATCAAACAAATATTTTTCCTATGTGGAATCATGTTGTCACAAGATGGTTCCTCTCTAGAAAACTGGTATTTTTCCTTTGGAAATTGAAAATATACTGTAAGTTTCATTGACCTTTTTATCCAATTCTCCAAAAATGAAATCAATGCCAGACTCCCATTAAGACTATTGTTTTTTTCAGTCTTTGCATAAATTTCAAGCCCTTGAAAGTAAAATGAAGTCATGAAGTTCATTCTTTAAATTTAGTTATTTTCCCTTCTGATTTTATGGGGATAGTAGACATGGGAGAACAAGATGTCTTTCAGCTTGGAACTTTATCTGCACATAGGGGAAAAATTCTCATGCTTTACGAAGGACTTTTATCATAAAACTTATTTACATTGTTAATTGTCTCTGTTATAGTTTGTATGGTAAAATGACGTACATAGGCTATCATGGAGTCATCAGGTGGCAACAAAAATCCCAGCACTTTGAGAGGATTAGCACATTGTCCCAAAATTGCTTAGACAAAATTGTTAAAAGCTAGTTCTTAGTCACTTTCCCATCACTGGGACAAAAATACCTGCAACTTAAAGGAGGAGAGGTTTGTTTTGGCTCACAGTTTTAGGGAGTTCAGTCCATTGTCAGCTGGCTCCTAGGCAGAAAAGGCATGATGGAAAGGCTTGGAAGAGGAAAGCTGTCCCACCTGTGGCAACTATGAAGCAGATTAGAGAAGATCTTTTTTTTTTTTTTTTTTTTTTGGTACCGGAGATCGAACTCCAGTCCTTGTACTTGCGGGGCAGGTGGTGGAACCACTGAGCTAAATCCCCAGTCACCTTCCAAGTCCATTTCTGAATACTTGAGACTTTTGGAGGTCATTTTAGATCTAAACCATAATAACTAGCAATGATACTGTTTTAAAACAGACTTTACTGTTTGTGGTTAATATTTTTGTAGCTGCTTAGATAGGATGATCAAACAAGACATGTCTTATATTTTAAAAAGAAATCACCTTCAAGTATACTCCTTTTTAAAACATCTGCAGCCTACATATATGATATAGTCTAACTCAAATTTTGGATCCTTCCTAAGGAAATAAAAATTGATATTAGTCCCAGGAACTTTCCTAGGTACTGGTGTGCTTAATGGCACATTCATGTATCAGATGGCTGGAGGAGACCCAAGGTGCTCATCCCACAGCTTGAGCGGGTACAACATAGATATTTACTGGATATATGGAAAGCATTGCAGAATAAATAAAAGGAATAGGAAACTCATTTGTAGTTTTTTTTTCTTTAAAAACAAGATAGAAAAAACCAAATGAAGATAATGTTATGAAGTAATCTAGGGAGGAAATCATTCCTATTACTAGCTTCATAGCTGAGGCCCCTATAATAAGACAGATTAACAGGAAAAAAGGACAAAAATTTATTTTTTGGTGACACAGGAGGCTTCAGTAATGAAGACCCAAAGAGACAGGCAAACCTATGATATATTTTGTTTTGGTTTTAGCGCTAGTGATTATACCCCAAACCGTATGCATTGTAAGCATGTGCTCTGCCACTGAGCTATACCCCTATCCCAACCCATGTATTTTTTTTATTCCAGATTCTGTGGAAAAGTGGATAATTGTGGACAAGTATGATAGGATAGCAAAGTTGAATGTAATGGTAATACCTAGGTGGAACTTTGGAAGGCCTGTTCAGATTTTCCTCTGTATCCCTGTCTTCACAGGTAAGACTGGTCCTTCCCTCGAGTTATAGGGAGGGCATCTCTTGAATGAGTGTCTTTTGACCTCTTTTCAGGGGAGAAGATCAGAAAGAGGCCTTCCTGCTTCTGTAGTATTCTCAAATGTCAATGGGCATGTTTTGGGATAGTAAATCCTGAATCCCATCAGGATAAAACATTTTATTTCTAAATGTCAGTATCATGAGTTGGGAGCCATTTAATCAGCCTCTCCCTTATAAACAGAGAAGAGTTATTTATATCTCATTCCTAGTCTAAAATTATTTCTGATAGTTATTCTGCTTTTCTAATGTAATATTATTATTTTAATAAAATAGTTACTTTTTGACCTCTTGTAGTCTTGTATTCACTGTAAAAAAAACAAAAAAACCACATATGGAAGTATATAGTCATAAACTCTGTGATGAATATATCAGTTGACTTAGAATTGGAGCAAGTGTAAAAAATCAAAAAGTCACTTCTTGCCGTGATACTGGTTTTTTTAATGATACCATTTTAATGCTAAAGTAAGAGCAGGGGTTCTTCTTTGTGTGCAGGGTAGGTTGGTATGAACATCTGAATCCCTAGGAAGCTTTTGTGAGGAATCCTGTGTTCCAGCTCCAGAATTCACACAAAAGCTCCTCTGTGGCTTAGGAGACAAAAGGTTTCTTAATGATCTCAAGTCCCCAAAGTCAGACACTTTGAAAGTATAGTTGTTTCAATGTTCAGATTAATAAAGCTGACACTTACTTTGAAATATAACTAAACAAGATTGCAGAAATAGAATCCAAATCCAGATTATTCTTTGGGTGAATAAATACATTGGTCAACCATTTACTGCATATAATAGTTTATCTGGATGTTACTTACAAGCTCAGGTCTCACTCATGTGTTGTGTTAGTTCTGGAATTACCTCATGAATCCTGCAGTACATAACAGAACAAATTGCCAGAAGGTTCACTGATCAGAAGCCATCCCAAGGTTCCAGTGCTTATGGTTTATGCAAGCAGTTCACATCTCGTTAGTCATTTAAAAACAAAGAAAAACAGTTTCTGGGGGGGGGGGGCTGTCTTCATTGAGAAATAAAAATGGCTTTTTTTCTCCTAATCTAGTGAAGAAAATTCATAAAATCAGTGTGAGAACTTTGTAATTTTATGTTATCAAAATGCTACAATTTCTATTACAAATAAAAAATTTTAAAACTGTAAGATTGATCTTGTAGTGATATGTATATCCAAATAAATATTTAATAATTCATTATATACCTAAAGATAATGACCAGATACAGTAAAACATCAAATTTGGCAAGTATAGTTACTCAATAAGTACTATTGGCTAGATTGTGACTCTTAAACCCCTTATTCTAAATTTGGGATTTATGCTAACTAGGAATGTCATATGATAAATAGAATACTTATAGAAGAGATATTCCCCAAGGAACTAATTATAATGAAAGAACAAATTAGCATTTTAGAATACTTTGTACTCACATCATCTGTTTCTAATATGACTTCTAGGTAAGAGATGCAAAAAAATCTTAAACTTACAATAGAGCAGTTTCAGAATTTGATCAGTTACTCTAAAACTACGGTACTAATTATGTATAGTGCATGCTTTGGCTCCCATTGGGTGAGACATTGAGGATATAAATGAGAACGAATTTTGAGGAGTGACTTTTCTTAGATGCCTGCACCTTTCCTTAGCAGTCTATACCTGCTATCTTTAGGGAGATTTTTATTAAATAGTGATAGTGTAACTATTCAAAGTGCTTTTTTTCATTAATCCTCATAGTGACCTTATCTATGAGGTTAAAAAAAACCTAGATTTACAGATAAATAAATTTAGGAACAGAGAAGCTAGATAACTATGTATTGAAGATCACAACTGTAAATTCTAAATACAAACCTAGGGTTTGAACCAAGAGCTTCCAGCTTAGTCTGTGCTCCCTACATTGTACATTCTGTCTTTCTTAGTTGCCTGAAACTGAAGTCAGATATTTAAAAAAGAATGAAATGGAGCTGACAGTTTCTCTGATATCTTTGTAAATCTCCTAGATGAGCTTAGAGATTTGGGTAATTAGCAAGGTCTGGGACCTACTATACCAGAAGATAAACTCTTGAGAACCAAAGACCTGGTGAGAGTTCATTAAGTGCTGTTGAATGATTGGCTATATCAAGAAAACTTACATGATATAAAATATCTTTAGAAAGCCTATCACCATCAATTTGTATTATTATAGACATCAATTTACACAATTTATTTTTAAAAAGTGATTACTATTGTATCATTTTTTACACTAGAACAGGTAATTTTTTTAAGTAGTAGCAAAACTTAGGAAGAATTAATATATTTTTAATTTATAACCAATCTGTAGCATATACCAAAATTTCAATGAACCTTAAATAATTTATCACAAAACTTTACTATCAAGAAAATGTTAAAATGTAGGGGAACTGTTCTAACCATCTTTTGTTTCTGTATTATGTTCTGTCAAGTGGTTGACTTAATAACATATTCTTATGCACATATCAACTGAATTTTTGAGAAAATTGTGTTATAGAGTGAATTCATCAAATCTTTCTGCATATGTTTTTGCTAAGCTCCTTATTAGAACATATGAAATACAAGGACTACAGTTTCTTTCCTGAATAGGCAAGGATTTTCAGTTCAGAATGGTATATTATTCTAAGTCTCTAGATAAGCTTCCAACACTTTTCATTACTGTTCCCTTACCTTATTTTTTTATCTATTTCTGATCATTTTCCAAATTTTTACATTGTACATGGGAAACAAAGAATTAAGGGGGAAATGTAAAAGAAATGACAAGGGCCCTGAGGAAAAGAAAGTATAAGTGTTAAGTGGCTCGTGGATTTTAAGTTTAGGAGAACACTGGAAAGAAGTTTTAAGATTTTTTTTTTTTGTATATCAAATTTCTGTGTATTTCTAACTTTGCTTCTAGCTTCTTAAAATTCTGTTTAAGCAGTGTTTTTCTGTGGAATCTTGATTAAAAGTCTCTAAATAGAAGAACTTGACTACTGATTTACTCTTTCATAATCATAGCATTCTTCATTATAGTCAGTATACAACTAAAACAGGATATAAAATTATAAGCTTCTGGAAACTCATTTTAGAGTATTCTCTTATTAGCATTCTTTGAAGAATTTTGAAAATATTTTCTTTAAATTCTTTCCTTTTAGTGTCAAGGATGAATTAAAAACTGCTTCTACCTACAACTCTAAATTCCCTCACTTGTAGGTTTGCATAAGCCATTACAATTATTTAGAAATAAGCTTTGTGGTTTGGGTCTGTTTTTCTCAAGAATCCAATACTTAAATGTCACGTGTGTGTTTTGGAAATTTGACAACAACATAGTTTGTGGTCACAGTTGCTTTAGCTATTACGAGACATTTAAGAATCACTTTTGAAAACACTCCTGTCATTTCTCTGTATGTGTTTTTTAAAAGGGAAAATTATTACCCACCTTTGTTTCTGTTTCTGACTGTTCTCTGCTATTCCTCTGCCCAAAATACTTGCTATTCTTTGTCCAAACTTAATAATTTTCTGACCACATGTGCATGCCTTTGCTTTGGCTGTTTCATCCCCTTGGAACTGTACCCTTAACCACAGTCAAGTGTTCTGCTCTTAAAGGGCCACATATATTTTTTAAGATAATAGGGAAAGGGAGGTTCAGGAAAGGGAGGCTCAGAAAAGGAGGAAAGGGGAGGGGAGAGAAGTAAAGGAAAGGAAAAGGAAAGGAGGGGAGGAAGAAAGCAAGGGAGGGAGAGATAGACAAAGTTTCTTTATGTGTTGTTATTGATACAGTTTTGCTGTCCTTGAAACTTCCTTTTATATTATGCATTTCTCTCTTAGACACTTTATACTTTCTATCTTGCATATAATTATGTACATATTTTATCTTCCTAATAGTACATTTTGGACTCTATTAGCAAATGACCTATAATGTTGAAAAGACTATATTAATATATATAATGCTTAAAAACGTTATGTTCATTAGATTTCAGTAAAAACAAGAATGTATAAAGCAAAAGTTTAAATATATAGTTTTTGGCAAAGGAATAATAGTTTTATTGATCTTGGTTGTGGTGGTTAGTGAATAAATCTCTTAATAATTTCAGAGTGATAAGCAATAATAGATTGCTTTCACTCCAGCAGTTTCTACGTGATACCACCATGTTAAAGAGGGCACAGATTTGGTCTGTGGCCAAGGTGAGGTAGAAGAGTGTAGCAAGCCCTTGTCTGGTCTCTGGATACCAGCGTCCAGGATAACAGGATAGGACACAGTATTTATATTTTCAGCTAGCATTAAGGCCTCTGGGTTAGCTGTGATCCTTGATAATTTATAACCTGAAAATGGTAGCAGGTACCAGAAATCATAAAAATTGTTCCCAAAAGAAGAACTATCGAAAATTGGCCATGAGAGTCATAATTATGCATGTCTCTTTAGAACGAAGTACTATACTGGGGATCTGGATGGAAAGGCTAATAAGAAAAAAATTAATTAAAAGAGTGTGGTGGAGATTGGTGCTAGTGAATTCAAGAAGTGTTAGAGGGAATTATAACACTATACTTTCCGTGGATGCCCAAGAGAACAATAAGAACTTAAAAAAAAGACTGAGAACGAAGTCACTCTTCATTTTAATACCCCAGGACTCAGTGCTTGGTCTTTAATTCTCATTTATATTAACTCACTTTATGGATGAGCAGATCACATGACTTTAAATACTATTTGTTACACCAATGACTCCCAAGATATATTTCCAGTTCTGACTTCTGTCCCATTCTCCAGGTTCAGCTGCCTTCTTGACATCTCCATTTGAGTATCTACCAAGTGTAGAATGTGTGAGTGCTTGCATGTGTGCCCATATGCATGTGTGTGTGTGTGTGTGTGTGTGTGTGTTGCTGGAGACCAAACTTAGTGCCTTGTGCATGGCAGGCAAGCATCTTACTACAGAGCTATACCCCCAAGTTCTGACAAATATCTTAACAAG